CCTGGCTTCATTTTCTCAGTGCAGAAACCAACGGGTGACGTCACGGTAGCTACGTCCATCTTTTATACAGTCTATGGTTTTAATGCTGTATGAAAATTAAGCGCATACCCAGTCATGAGTATGAAAAAAAATTAAAAAGAAAAAAGAAAAGAAAAGAAAAACTAACTCAATTCAAAGATATTTTGTTTTTATGTTTAATTAACCACTTATGCACATGTGTAAGTAAGTGGAAAGAAGGGCGAGCTGAATAAAAAGTCAGGTCAAATCCCTCCTCCATAAACTGGACACTATCTACCACACCACCATCCGTTTTGCCACTGGTGCCCCCTTCACGACTCACCACTGCACTCTGTACAGCCTAGTTAACTGGCCCTCTCTTCACTCCCACAGGCAAACTCGTTGGTATTTGTTCATTTATAAAACTATCATAGGTCAACCTCCAGCTTATCTACGTTCACTACTCATCACTCGTCACATCAGCCGCTCACTTCGCAACAGCAACCTCATCCACCTCCTCATCCCTAAAGCCTGCGCTATTTTTGGCTGCTAGTCGTTTCAGTTTTCTGCAGCTCTTGACTGGAACCACTTACAAAAAAACCACTCAAACTCAGCGTCTTTATATCATCTTTTAAAAATATGGTGAAGGAGCTATTTACTGAGTCCTGTACCTGCTTTTAGTGTATTTTATCTTCAAAGCCTTTTATTGTTATGTTTTGTTTGTGTACTGTTTTTTTTTACAGATGTATTCCCTTCATTGTATTTTCTGCTCTGTGCTGCCTCTTGGCCAGGTCGTTATTGTAAATGAGAAGCTGTTCTCAATGAACTCATCTGGTTAAATAAAGGGGGGAAAAAATAAATACTTCAAATGCGTATGTTCTGTTTTAATGCAGGTTGTTAAAAATTGAATCCTTCAATAGACAAAGCGAGAAAGGGAGCACAATCAAAATATTTGCGTATCTCCGTACCATGTTCAGGGCTTTGCAAATAATACTTAAGCAGACTTGAGAGGACCAGTTGCTCTGATTTTTAGCCGTCTGCTCAATAGAGAGACGGGAAGCTTCGAGAAACATCCATGATCCTGGTACGTGTGTTGCTATGTGACATAAAAGTCTTTCAAAGTACTCTTAACCACAGAAAAAACAGGTAAAACCAAGACTATTAAGTTGATGTGTACTACACCTCATCTACAATTGTAAATAAAGTCTGTATATCTGTCGTACACATGAAGTCAACAGATGATGTATTCATTTCGATGAAGTTTGACAAAGAAATCAATTCCTGATTGATTCCAGTCTGCACTAATTTCCTCGACTCTTTCCCAGTTCTCAATCAGAGCTTTTCAGATCCTCAAGATATGCTAACTTTCCAATAAATAGTGCTATTAGGGTCTTTGATAAACTGCTACTGGTGTTTTCCTCTTTTATTGACTGAGAAGTATGAGATCAAAAACCAACCGTCCTTACCTCGGTGATGAAGGCCTTGGCAGTAGCCGGGCTCATGAACAGCACGGCTCTGCGCAGCGTGTCCCTGTAGCGATGCAGCTCCTCCACGCGCATTGTTCTGAACAGACTCGTGATCATCATGTTAATATTAGACTCCACCTTCTGAAGGGACACGTCCATTCCCTGCTGAGAGGTCCGGTCAAGGAAATCCTCAATCCCACGGATATCTGGAAGAAAGAAAAAAAAAAAGAGACAAATGTAGAGGTGTGACTGTATATTTGGCTCTAGAGCAACAAACACATTCTTCTGAAGGCATTATGCAGAAAAGCGGCAGCGTGAGAGATAAATACGCTGCACCATACACACAGATTTAGCAGAAATATTAAGACCATCGCTGATGACTCTACACCATATTCTCTGTTGCAGCTGATGGGTTATCTCTCTGCATGGATAGGCTCAGTAAATATCCCAATTCATCAGCTCCTACTGGCAGTGATTCCTTGCGCTGTGTGCATTTGTATTAGTCAGATTTTTATCCCTCGTGTTAATCTAAGGTACGGCTTTTGTTGACAACATTATATACACGGTATGTCAGTGTTTATTATCTTTCTTTCTAAAAAAAATCTGAATGCACAAAGCACAATGTAGACATGGCCTCTTTTAGAGATACACAAAATGGGACGGAAAGATATGAAAAAGAAAAAAATATGGCAGTGAGTCATCAAAAGTGGGAGGTTTGTTTTCTTTTCTTTTGCTTGTTCGGTCCATTGACGTAGATACTTTATGAATGAGGTAAGACAAAAACAATCAGTAAGAAGAGACATAGTCATTATGTTTTTTTAAAAAAGTTTGCTCTCTGAAAGTGTTCGCTGTGTGTGTGTGCACAAGTGTGTCCTTCATACAACATGTGTTTGCACTGTATGGCAGACACATGAGCATGGCCCTGTGAGTCCTTGCCTAAATATGTGTCTTAGTTTATGGTTATTCTGCTTGCTACTGTTAACAAGGATGTACAGAACTAATGCACCATAAAAGGCAAAGTTTCAAAATTTTGTAGTGGCACAGATTTTTAAAAAAAGAATATTAACAGTATCCATCCATTATCTATACACCGCTTAATCCTCACTAGGGTCATGGGGGGTTGGAGTCTATCCCAGCTGACTCAGGGTGAAGGCAGGGGACACCCTGGACAGGTNACTTAGAGACAGACAACCAAGCACACTCACATTCACACCTACAGACAATTTAGAATCACCAATTAACCTCAACATGTTTTTGGACTTGTGGGAGGAAGCTGGGGAACCCGGAGAGAACCCACGCTGGGTGCCCCCGCCGGGACACGAACCGGCGACCTTCTTGCTGTGAGGCAACAGTGCGCCACCTTGCAGCCCAATAGTAACAGCCTAATATTTTTAATTAAACATACTGTCAGAGACACTTTAATTTACATTTTTCATCTTCGGTAACAGTCATTTTGTAAGACTGCCATCACCTCTATGCAGATGACACTCCGCTTTATTTACTGACAAATCAAGATGTCAAGGAAAAATTATGGACCCTTAGAGTCATGGTCTCTCTAGCTAAATAAATCTGAAGATAGTACTCAGTGACCTAAATCTTTGACTAGTTTGCTGAGAATATGTAGGCATCTAAACTGCAAGAATGTATAACACTGAGCAAGGGATGTTCTTAAATTGAAATGGTATGTTTTTAAAACTGGAAACTACGCATTTGAACTTAAATTGTACCCCAATCCAGTGTTTTGACAGTCTTATATGGATGCTTTAATGCTCTCAGTGTGTGAATATATATGTCAAAATATATGCAAATATATAATCAAATGGGTTTTGCTTGGGTTTTAATATTTGACCATCAATCACATGTGAACTTGTTGCTGTATTGAGCATCAGCACATGCAGTATCCGTGCCGTTAGAACAACAAACTATTAGTCAAAAAGTGCACAACAAAGTGTGAGTCACTCACCACTTAAGTGTCTGGACACAAACAGAACAAATAACTTATGACAGTGGTAACAATGCCACTGAGTTTTTGATTGAAGTACCAACCACTATAATTATCTCTATTAAGAGTTAAGTTTTTTTATGATAACAAAACCAGGACGCTGCCGTAAGTTTTTTTTTTTACTGCCTGAACTCCTCTATTCTTAATGAGCTACATTGCAGGTCAAGGTAATCCTAATTAAGGCACTTTGGCGTTGAGACCATTGCTAATGATGTCAGAGGATGTGTGTGTGTGTGTGTGTGTGTGTGTGTGTAGTTATGTAAAGCAACTACCTAATGATCTATTTGATATGGAAAACGGATGACACTACCGTCATTGCCGGTGTCACGGCTGAGCAATTAAGTGGATTGATTAGACTTGTTAAGGGCCGCGGGGCTGGGGCGATGGTGTGATTTCATCAATGCCAAATTTTGGAGGTTTAACATCGTATTAAGAGGAGAGACACTATGCAGAAGCATTGATTGTGGGAAAAAAGTAATTTAGAAATAAGATGAATGGAATCCTGTGAACAACTACGAGCTACAGGTTCCTATGATGTCAAGACGGCTGAGAGTTCACGGGGTTAAACGGGGACGAATGGGACCTTCTGGATGTTTGTGTGTGTCTCAAATATCTTATCAACTCTTGTTCTACCATGGGGAAAATTAAAAAGGAATGCTGTCAGTATTTAAGCAACAAAAAACATGACATGGCAAAGAAAAAAACAAAACACCCAAGTGATAGTAGTCAGAACTTCATCTCCATTCCCAAACTCAAGAGGCACAGCAGCACACACACAGGATATGCAGGTGCAGAACTCCAGACGACAACAGCTGGGCACACAGTCTGTTAACAAGGCAGCTTCACTCTGGAACAGATCTGTGTGTCTAGCATGAGCACTTACAAAATGCATTAAATTATTTATTTTAAAATATTCCAGCGCATCCATCACCTCGCCTGCTTTACTTACTTTGTTGTTGTGTTTCTTTGTGAAGCTGCGTTTGTACGTGATGATGATGATGAGAAAAGGTAGACGAACAAACACAGCCAGCAGGATGGCATCTTTAATGGCAAAACAACCCTTCTGCGATCTGTCTGGGAGCACAGAGTTATCAAGCCACTAAAATCTAATTACTAGAATTAATTAGCAGAAATAATCATTTGTCGCAGAAGTAATTACTGTTAACTGTATTATCATTGGTAACGCGATCGTCGTCACAAGTGCTGTGACTCAACTTCATTAACTTAAGGTTGGAGGAACAAAAATGGCCACAGTGCGTTAGTTTGACTCTTTCACCCCAGTAGAGACAAAGATGAATTCACTTTTGTATCCACATCAATTAATATCAGTATAAACTCTGTCAGAAAGGTGTTTGACACACACACACCGACACATTACATGCTTTATTCTTCCACAAAGCTGATTTAAGCTTAAATCTCTACATCTATCATGGTTTATAATCAATGCTATCAAGCTACATGAAAATTTGACACTGCCTGATTTATGTTTTCTATGGTAAGAAAGTTTGTAAATCAACAGACTCGAAAAATCTTTAGAGAAATAAGGAAGTCGTGAGAAAAGAGCATGACATTTTTTTCTGCTTTTTTTCTTCCCTCAACAAATGAAGTTTTTTTTTTTTAATGCTAATCCAGTTTTTTACCAACACATGCCTCCCAATCAGTGCCTGTACACCTTCTCGTCCTATTTTATTGCTGTATTACTCTGCGCCGCCTTGTACCTGCTCATCTGCCTCTTAGCCGTTCTTGCCGTCTGCCTGGAGGGTCAGTCTGGCTTTACTTGCCATCATCAATCCATTCTCCACCCTAGCTTACAGTTCAGGTTGTGTGTCTAATGCGTTTGCCTCGCTCCGCTCTGAGAGGAAAGAACAAACCCAACTGTCTCACCGCTTACAGCTCATTCGCACTCACTGCATTAAACACTTAACAGTCGATTTGTCATAACTTTGGCAAGCCGTGATGCGAGAAATACCGAAATGTATACGAGCTATAAACAACCATTAAATCTTTTAGTGTAAACACTGCAGTGTGCGTTGTTGGTTTAAAGGCAAAATGCACATTTGATGAGAAACAAAAACACGTGAAAGAAAATGCATTTAATAAATGCAGGCATGAATAAGTGTCACTTGTTGCAAAAAAAACAACACAAAAAGTAAGACAGAGATGTGTGAGACATACAGTAAAGGAATATTTACGACCCCCACTTAGACAAAAAAGAAAGCCAATGACTTTCAAATGTAAACACATCCCGGTCCAATTTTACACATTTGTAGTCAAAGGCGTCCTCATCCCCGACATCAAAGTTTGCTTGCGTTTCTGTATGCCTGCTGTTCAAAGGACGAGATTTGAGCATGCACCTCCCCACTGCTGAGCGGATCATTGGCTGTCAGCTACTTCCCATCAAGGAGCTTCAGGACACGATAGCGGATAAAAAGACGGGCAAAATTGCCACCGACCTTGCCCACCCAGGCAACCATCTGTTTGAGAAACATTCCTCTGGGAGACAGTACCGCTCCATTAACACCATGATCACCCATCACCTCAACAGCTTTTCCCCCATGCGCTGTCACCTCACTCAACCACTCCTCCTGAGTCGGCCATGCAAAGACATATTGTGCATTCCCACAGTCCCAGGCCTCTTCATCTAACAGAGATGACTGTATTACTGCTGCCATGCTAGCTACTGTCACCTAAGTGGCTCTTGCAGCGTTCGGCAAACTTCTGGAGCGTCTGTATGCGACTTCACTTCACAGCGTCTCTCAGCTTAGGAGCCCATTGTTACTTTGAGCCAACACACAACACACTATGTTTATTTATCTGCTTTTTATTTGCAGCCATGCTGATTATTAAGTTAAAGTATATTTTTGAAACATTATCTGTACTTAATTTCCCAATAAAGAACACAAGAAATGTTGAAATTATATGACGGATGGCAAAAAAAGCGATCCAGCTGTGTCACAAATATTAACTTTATGCAAACTGATGGTATTCTTAAAGCACTTTGCCTCCACCTTGCACTGTGCCACTGTGGATCACCGCTTTTCAAGAGTTATACAAGTGAAACTGAACAGGTATTCTTGCAAAGAGAGCTCATCAGCTGGAAAGATTTACATAATTCCCTGTAAAACAAGGTTAAGGCTTGTATGGCATAAGGTTCGGTACGTGTCCCTTTCCCCCTATTTGTCAGGCTTCCCTTCCTTCCCCTCC